CTGAAGCAGGGTGATGACACATGGGAGGCTACCCTGGGTAATGTAGTGAGACCCTGTGTGAAAAATAGAAGGGGCTTGGGAGGTATTGGGGTTCATCTCCAGCAGCCACACAGAAGGAAAGCGGGGCGCAGGGGTGGGGGGGAAGCGAACGCAGTGCTTCAGTCTGCGCTGTCCTTGATCCTTGCTCCGTCCTTCCTCCGCCTCACACGCCCCTCGGTTTTGGAACGTGAATGCCCAGAATGAAGCATTTCCTTGCAGTGCGTTCCGTTAAAAGAGTGCTCAGGAGCGGTGGAGGGAAATAAGGAAAGGGTTGTGGGGGCACAGCCTGGAGGAGAGATGCGCTGTGAGGTTTATCACAGCCTCTGAGAAGAACCGGGGTTTATTCTCCACTCCTACGAGGATAGCACTCCTCCAGGGGAAGCTCTAGACTTGAGCCTGGGCTCGCCCTGTGCGGTCACGTGGCCTTCAGCGACCGCAGCCTCTGCGGGGGCTTTCCTGCGCTGCGGGAGGGAAGGACTTCTGCTTCCCGATAGGGGGCGCTGGAGCGCGCGGCACGGCCACTGCAGCGGTTCAGTCCTCCAGAGGCTCACCCTCCGAGGCGCGGGCCGGCGAGTGGGCATGACTGGGAAGCAGGCTTTGGCTAGTGCAGGCAGAATTTGCCAAGAATTAGTCAGAACTGTCGAACAGGTTGCAACTAACACAGATCAATCTGTCGTCGTTGTTCAGGGAACTCACCCCTGGACCACACAGGTGAAAGATTTGTATTGGTTATTGGAAGGTGAGGGCCAAATTTGAAACACAGCCTGAATAATTGAGTAGATTACACACCATCCTAACCTTTGTTTTCTCTAATCCAGATATTTCGTTTTCACATTTTGTGCATTAAAATTAGCTTTGAAATACAGTTTGCATGCAGCAAAAGTCATAAATTTTGAGTGTATAGTCGGTGGATTTGATAAGTGTATGTACTCCTGCAACTACATTCCAGTCAAGTTAGAGGACATCTCCAGCTTTGAAAATTCCCTCGGGTGGTTTCCTCTTTCTAAGTTACCTCAGAGGCTTTATACATGTGATACAGGGTATAAATAAGCAAAAACTTGGGTGCTAATAAAAGCAGAATCCGGTTTTTATAAAGCAATGATGCGGGTCCGCAGAACTCACAGATTTGAAGTGTCTTGCCGCTGACCTTCCTGGTGAATGATTACTGACGGGGATGTCTGTGGGCCTTTGTGCTTAGCAGACCCAGCACTTACTCTTTTGATAGACACGGCGATACAGTTAGATGTCGTAAAGGAGTCTTTACTAGCGTTGAAATCCTGGAAACAGAAGTATTTATGCACAAGTGGGACATTTATTCACTTATATCTATTCCTATACTTAGATATAGCTATATACAGAGTCTGGGACCTTTCAAAAAATCTGTACGCACTTTAGGAAAAGGAAAACTT